AGTCGACCAATAACGACTAGTTTTGGGGTCCAATGACCAAAATACCCCTTAAAACGGTCAAAAAGGCCAAAATTTGAGGGTGTCTCCGTCATTTGTCTAAGGAGCTGTCTCTATAAATAGCGGTTTCATTTGGTTTCTCATCTAAAAATCCTCCTCTTCTCTCTAGTACTCTTTTATACTCTCCAATACTCTCTTATACCTCTAGACACTCTCTTCTAATTCTCAAATTCTCTCAATTTCAAATGACTGTCTGCTCCAATTTTGATCTCTTTGGCAATTAAAATGCTTAGTCCAATCCTAAAATGAGTCCTCCTACTACGGAGCCGAAACCTGAATCTGAAGATCCAACATCTCCAACTTCTAAAAGCCACAGATTGGAATGCAGTCTTTCTTTGAGAAGATTGCAATTATAGATAATAACGATCATATTATCGGCCAAAAGGCTAAATGTCTGATGTGTAGTAAGATTAATGAAGCTAAATATCAGCATGTGACTAACCACTGTTAGGTCTCATGTTTATGAGCCTACTATCTAATCTAGTTTTGATGATTAACAAACAATTCCTAACAATGGTTGTCGAGTATTTATATTTAATTGTTAGGTATTCTACATAAGGATCTTTTGTTGGAGGTTGGATGGACTGCGCCTTAACGATGACATTCAATGGAGGTTGTCAGAATATCGGAATGAAGCCATTTGCAATTCAAAGTTAAATTCAAGATCAAACTTCATCCACAATCAAGACGAGCTTTATTGAAGATCAATATCTTGGGTATAGTTAGTTTAGTAGTTTATACTTTGTGTGTTAATGCTTAAAGCTCAAATATTACACATATACACGTTTTGGTTTTATAAATTTCAAGTTTAAATAAAAATGAAACTATTAGTTATATTTATATACATACATACACATTTTATATTTATTATTTTTGTTTTTGGAAATAATGTTTCTAGCCACAGAAATATGAAACATATGAATATAATTATATTCACACATATTTGTTTCATGTTTATATGTGCTTGAAATGATTTCATTAAAATCAAGTTTTAATAAGTTCATGTTCGTGCATGATTTTAGAAAACAGATGAGTTTTCACAAATAGGAAATCCAATTTGAGAAATTCTTTTTCTAACATGTTATATTACATGTTTATAACCATTCTCAAAATTTTATAATTTTTGGAGTTGATTTACTATGTCAAATTGATTTTACAAAATCGAGTGTTTCAACAGTTTTTAAAAACTAGAATATCTATCTTAAAATAGTAATATCTCACAAATGGGAAGTGATATTTCATAAATTCTTCCTCTAACATGTTTAGAAACTTCTCTAAAAATTTCACGATTTTTGTAGTTGGTTTACTATTTTTAATTAATTTTACAAAATCTGATACGTAAAATTCCAAAATCTTCCGTGCATGTTATAAGTCGACTTATGAAGTAATAAGTCGACGTATAAGTCGACTTAGGCAGTGTTGTGCAGTTAGATGTTTTTTATCTTCGAAGTCGACTTGTAATTCAAATGAGTCGACTTATGTAGACATAAGTCGACTTATACCTGTCATAAGTCGACTTATAATAGAGCCGTTGGACAGTAACAACTAGTTTTTAGATTTTGTATTTTTTTAATATTTTATGGGTTTTTGTTAGTTTCTTGGGCTGGGTTGTTCTACCCTATATATACCCCATTGTATTTACTATTCCTACTAACCAAGAAAGTTTTAAAACAAAGTTTAAGGGTGTTTAAGTTTGTTTTAAGTGTGTTTTACAAAAGTTTGTGTGATATGGTTTACACAAGAGCAAGAGGAGATTATTAACTCGTGTTTGGGCTTGAACCTCATCTCCCTCTTTTTTTTTTTTTCATTGGAGAAGTTTTCTAAATTCAATATCTAGCTATTTATACGTTTGATTATCATTTCCATAAGTTAGACTTTAATTGAGTTTATATTTCATTTTCACTCATTGTTTAAACACACCCACTTGAGCTTAAGTATTTTCATACATAGTATAATTGGGGTTGTGAGAGTATAACATTGAGTGTGGGCTTAATTGAGTTCTCACCTTATTTAGAGAACAAACATTTGTTATTGTACTTATTATGAGATCACTTTGTAATACACAAGTACATCGAGAGGAGTGTGTGGTGAGAGACGTGGTCGATACCAAGAGGAGTGACGTCGGTAGTAAATCCTATAGAGAGGTTGTATATCTGAGCACTTAAGGGAGGTGACACGTGAGAGACCAACACTTGAGATTGTAGTGTGTGATTACATTGTGAGTGATTGTGAGTATTTTCGGTAAGCTAGAAAACCGAGATTGTGTGAGTTGTAAATATTTTTGGTGAACGTTGAAAACCGGTTGAGATAGTGGAGATTCTCCTCGAGAGTGAGTAGCGGAGACATAGGTCGAGGGTGACCGAACTCCGTGATCATATCGTGTGTTTGAGTTTGCCTTAGCGTATTTATTTGTGCTCATTATTTATTGCATTCTTTGTCTCCATTGGCTCATAGGTTATATCGCCTTTTGTTTATTTGTTATCCTTACATATATCTCATTGTATATCATACTTGTTAGGATATTGTTAATATTTTTTTAATTTGACATTAATATCAGATTAGATTAGCATATACCCTATTCACCCCCCTCTAGAGTTCTTTCATTTGGTATCAGAGCTTGGTGCTATTTGAGTGTGGCTTACCCACCTAGTGTCAAAGATCCTCGCTTTGTTATATTGATAGTCTAGTTTTGAGATTATTTTTATCTTGCTTGCATATATTTATTATGGATATGAATGGTGCACCTAGTTTAGGCTATGATATTAATAGTGCTCCTTTATTCAATAATTTTTCTTATGCTCAATGGATGTTTAGATTTAAAATATTTGTTAGATCTAAACATATCGATATATAAAAAATTATAGAATGTGCTTATGTTGTGCCACATTGGAGAAATCCAAATGGAGCACAAATGATAAGAGAATGTTTGTTTTGATCAAGTTATTGTTAGAATTTATGCTTAAAGCTTTTGATCTATCTATTTCTAACAAGCTTGCTCATTTTGATAGTGCTTACAAATTATGTAAATTTATAGAAGCACATAAATGAAACTTGGAGGAGATCCGACAAGCCTTGGCAGATACCACTTCAAGTGCTAATATTGGAGCTTCATCATGCACTCTGTCACTAGACGATAGCCCTAGTGTGGTATGCGATTCGAAATCCAAATATGATTTATCTATTGATGAACTCTCATGTGCATATGATAGATTAATGCATGCCTACACTAAATTGCATAATAATTTTGATAGTTTGAAAAGCAAGCATGTTGAATCAAAATCCAATAATAAATTACTAGCATCTAAGTTTGATTTAATTTTCAAAGAAAATGTGATCCTAAAAGAAAAAAATTAAAAATTAAAATTGGATCATGATTTTTTAATCTCAAATGTTGCTAGTATAACTCATGAGAAAAATAATGCCTTATTAGAAGTAGAGAACATGAGAAATAAAGTTAATTCTTTTGCAAATAATTATATATGTTCTACTTCTAATAACAATGCTTTTGTACAAATAAATGAGTTGAATCATGTTAAAAATCACATATCATCTTTAGATTCAACTTTGAAAACATGCATTGCAAATAATAAAAAGCTTGCGTACTTGTGTGCAAAGTCTCGTGTAAATTCTTCCAAGAAACTAACACACTATGCACACATGTATAACAAAGTTTATAATGCTCTATTTATGGCTGTAAAGGCCATCTTGCTAAATTATGTTATAATGCACAAAAATCCATCATGACCAATCATACTTGTGCATCCCATCAAGCTTCATCACATCATACACTTACACATGCACACAATAATTATCATAAGCATGTTAATGTGTATAGTGTAATTTTTGTTGCTGTTTTGGTCATTTGACTAAATTTTGTTTTGATTTAAAAAGAGTTTCTCATTTGCAAAATGCTTTTAAAACACCATCTATGTTTGCAAATATTTTCTGTGCACACTCATATGATCATCATTAACAAATGCATCCATTTTATTGCACGTATCGCAATAGAAAGGATCATTTATGTGATTATTGCTATGACTGGACTCGTACACAAAATGCGCCCAAATCAGATCATAACCCAATGACCTTGAGCTTTAATGATGGGGGTCATGTCCCTAAACTTACCGGCACCAAAAATATTTGGGTGCCAAAACAAAATTGATTATGTTTATTTTGTATTTTCGCATTTTTAGGTTTCATAATTTTATAACAATGTAAATTGATAAGATTTTTAAAACCACTCATATTATTTCTTTAAAAGAAAGCATTTTAAAATATATATTGTAGGCGTCAAAAACTGTCTATAGGTTCCCGCACGCAGCTCGA